GAAAATCTGACAAGCACCAGAAAGGTGCATCTTCTCAGTTCCCAGATACATAGTGGCTCTGAGACCTAACAAAGCCTCTAGGAGACCTGGTCTTGTGCAGAAGCTGTCTTCCACCCCACATTCCCTTAACTCACCTTATTAAATTCTTCCCCATCTTCCAAGCAGGCTTTTCTGCATCTCTCTTCCTGCCCCATCTCGACACCTTCCTCTTTCACACTTATTCTATGTTCTGTGAGTTTCTCATCTGATAAGATCCAGCTCAGGGAACCAGCAGTTAGCGTAATGGCTATGTCGCTGGACTCCCACCTAGTCGACCGCGGTTCGTGTCCCGGACCCGGTGGCTTAAAACACACTGGGCGTGTGTGCGTGCGTGCACAAGATACCAAGAGGAGAATGGAGGAGAAGGGATTGCGGCGTGACCATGCCCCCGGGGGGTGATTTCTCGCTTTCTGTCTCTATGTCTCTCTCTGTCTGGCGAGCGCACGCGCCCTGTAGTGAAAACCTCTTAAAAAAAAAAAAAAAAAAAAGATCCAGCTCAGATATCTCCCTTAGCCCCTATCCTGTGTTGGAGGGAATGTCTGTTTACAGCATCTGGACTGAGAGATCCTCTAGGGCAGGGTCTAGTTAGGACCCTTCTCTGTATCTGCAGAACCAGCACAGGGCCCAGCAGCATGACTAGAGGACAGCAAGCAGCATGATTTCCTGCAAAGCTGAGATTCAAGGCAAGAATGAGTATTTAGAGAAGAAACCCTTTGCAATGCACAGTTTACTAACTGGGAAATGGCACCAATTTTCCAGGAAGGGTGATTGCACTGTCCAGAAGCCCAGGATGTCCTAGAGCCAGGGTACCAAACCTTTAACCAGAAGGCAGGAAAGAAATGGAAGCCCATCATGTTCTGGATTTAAGTGCCAGCACTTCTACTTGCATTAACTTTATTACACAAATAAGACATTTACAAAGCACGACATGAAGGTATGTAACAAAACAGACATTGGTTTTACAAAAAAGTGCTTACAATTTTTTTCCGTGTGTGTCTTCCTTTTTGCTTTGTACTTAAATAAATAGTCTTGATGGCCTGTACGTTCTCAGGCTGCTCTTAACAGGGTAGTAGAGACATGTTTGAACTAGAACATGCTATGGCCATGTGATCCACACAAGGAACAGACCCTGGGAGAGGCTCAAGGCAGAGTGGGTACTGGATGACCCTGGCCACTCATCACATGGCTGTGACTGGGGCTTTGATAATCCCCAGGGCCAGGGATCAGGCCCAGGTCACTCCTGTTAATGTCAGCACCTAGCACAGGGTCAGGCACCAGTTACCACTGCACAAATTCTGAACTGAGCTGTGCTCACCATGCTCGAGTGGGGCCTTCTCCTTACCCTCAGTTTGTTGTCACCTTCTTTGGAAGGGAGAGGAAGCAGGTTCCCTTCTTGAACCACACCTGTGCCCAGTCCTCCTCCTGCCCCAGAACAAGAATGGCATACAGATTTTCATTTTGGCATACAGATTTTCATTTAAGTGCCAATTTCAAGCATTTGGATTCTAAAACCTTATCCAACCTCAGTGACATAGAGAGTGCTGCAATCAATTAGCAATGTCTGTCACGGGTACAGACAGGGACAGCAGCCACATATGTACCATGAACTTGCTTTCCCTGTTCTAGACTTTCCTCCCAAAAGCAATGTATCAGGTTAACCACAGCAGGAAGGAGGACTTAGGCTAAAACATGCTTACTAGCAGCCTCTAGTGGGAAATGCATCAAGATGCCAAGTAGCTCTAGAATTATAAGAGAAGCTTGGGACAAGTGGGCGTCCCCTAGAAACACAAATCATGGTCATATGTTGCCCAAGCCCTTTTGTTTGGGGTGAGAGAGTTGCAGCAGAATGGGGTAAATGTGAGCACAGCTGTGTCTGGTCTCTGGTCTCAGGACAAGTGGGGTTGGCTCCAAGCAGGGTTGGTGAGGAAGCCCAGAGGTGCCAGCTGGGATCCCAGGTTTGGCACACTCATCTGGGCAGTGGGCACTTTTTCTCTATTCAAAGATAGGACCGAAATTAACATTCTGGCGGCTGTTTCACTGGACTCTGTTCCCTGGCCCCCATGAGAAATCTCTCCAGAGAAAACATGGCCCAGGCATCCCTATCAGGGATCAACAAATAGCCAGCAAGGTCCCCAACTCCTGCCTGCCCAGACATTCAGAAGTGTCAACACGCAGATCAAATGCCATCTCTGCTATGACTCCTGCATAAATACCAGATAGATAGGTAGGGGTAGGCGTCCTCCCTACGCTGAGTTTTTCCTTTCCTCTCCCAGTCTGGCATGACACATCCCTCCCTTTCCTCAATCTCCAAACCAATGGGGGTCTTTGTGCCCCTGCCCCTTGCCTATACCCCTGCCTCTCCATCGGGGAGGTCTCCATCTCTGCCCTGTTGGGCCTCTCAGGGTTGGTCACTGTTGCACTCTTTCTGAATTAACTTGACATAACCAGACAGATGGAAATGATAAAATTAGAACACAGCCTCCTTTGGGGACATCCCACAAACACTGTAGAGTTTTCCAGACAAAAGCAACAGAGTGGATCACATTGGGGGTTGTCGGCTATTCAGAATTCAGAGATGGCTCCAAGGAAGTAGTAAAGAAAGGCCAATATGGGGGGAAGGAAAACCTGTAAATCAGAAGGCTGTTGACGGCACACAATTCATTGTGCCTTTTGCTATTGTAATCAGTTTAAGTTGAAGATGACTCCTGTTTAGATGGAAAAAACAGGCTGTTGTTTTCACCCTGATTCCAAACTTCAGGGAGCTCTGCCTTCCAAGAGGAGGACTCTGTGGTGCTCCTGGTGGGTTCTGGTTCTCAGCAGGAGAGGGAAAGGCCAGGCCTGGGTGGCCAAGCTGGTGGCGGGCAGGATGGCGGGCGGGGGTGGCTGCCGAGACGGGCGGATCCCTGGCCACGGCTGGGACACTGGATCTCAGTGGCTGAGGGGCAGCTGTGGGGTGCCCATGGACAGATGCAGAAGTGCCGGCAGTGTCAGTACTGAAAAAGGATGACCTGCAAGAAGAGGGCATGGGAGGTGGCTGAGCAGGGCCTGAACTACCCGCAGCCCCCCAGCGGACCTCGAAGGCATGGAGAGCAAGGGTGGGTTCAGGGCCCAGATCTGGGTTTAAGTCCTGGCTCTGTCAACTTACTTGCTGTGGGACCTTGGGGAACTCACTTCACCTCTCTGAGCCTGTTTCCTCATCTGTAAAATGGGGATGACAAAACCTCTCTCTCAGAATCAGGAAGGTTCAATGAGATACAAAAGCAGCAGTGAACTTGGCCCTGGGCCTGCCACACATTATTTCCCTGAAGCCACACCCCCCCTGTGACTAATAATGGGTGGGGCACTAACCCACCACCACCTCTATTTTACAGAGAGGGCATGGAGGCTCAGAGAGGTTGGTACAGACGGGCCCATGATCACCCAGTTAGGGAGAGGGGGGCTCAGCCCTGGAAGCCAGGCCTGACTCCAGAGCCAGCTCTCTCTACTATACCACGTCTCTCCCACAGGGAGTCACCTCTGCCTCTCCAAGGCCACCATGACGATAGTCACTGACTGCTTAGTTCCCCCAGGCAATGGGCTAAGCACATCAGGAGGCCGAGAGGCACGTGGTACCTGATGCACTGGGTGACAACACACTGGGTGAAGACCACTTTCGATCTCCCTCTTGCACCTACAGCACCTGGCTGACATCTCAATGCTGCTGACATAGCCAGTCCCAGAAGCTCAGGTCCAGAAGTACCGGCTGGCTGGTCAGTGGGATCTGCCTTTTCACAGTGAAGTATGAGGAGGAGGTTTCAAGTGGCCCAGGGAGAGTTGATGGGCACGTTGGGCACGATGGGTACAGCTACATGATGGCTCCATTTTCTGATCAGAAATGGAACTTGCCATTATGACTTGCCCGGAAGCAGTTACCATGAGGAGGTGATGGAGGAAGGCAATGACGGTGATCTTCATAATGGTAACCCTAATGATAACCAACATCTATGGAGTACTCTCTGTGCGCCAGGCTAGGCTCTGTACTCATGTTGCCATATCTGCTCTCCATAGTAACTCCAGGTGGTGGGAACAATTCTCATCCCATTTTACAGATGCAGAGAAGCTCCCAGACCTCACAGGGAGGAGGTGGCAGAGCTGGGATCCAGAGTTGGCCTGACCCTAGACCTCACACTGCCTTGTTCATCCAACCTTGGGCAGTGCTTTGCTTTGGCCTCTAGGATACCTGGCTTTGGCACTTAATAAGAGAAGCTCTTTCAAGGATGACCCTGGTAAAATCCTTCCCCTCCATGGGCCTCTGTCTCTCCATGTGATTCAGTGAAAACTTGGCCCTGACCCCTAAGAACCTCCTAAGTGCTGCGGCGTGATCAGGAGACAGAGCAGGGAGAAACTCATAGATGTGTGTGGCCAAGTGATGAGGTGGTGGAGGCAGAGGGTGCTCCCTGAGAGTGTGCAGAGCCCTGTTCCTCTGACCAGGCAAGGCACTGATCTGGATGAGCAGGCTCAGTGGCCAGGCCCAGGGGGACACCAAGTCCCAGGCTGACTCAGGCCTGGGAAGACTTGGGAGAAAGCCCACACAGCCCTGCACTGAGGACACAGCCCACACCCTGCAGCCCACCAACCCCATGGGCTTGGCCAGATGTGGGCAGGAACGTTCCCTGGGAGCTGGCAGAGAGACCTGACAGGGAGTGAGCAGAAGGGCCTGAAGGAGGGAAAGACACTTTCAGGGAGAGCTTCTGCATATGAAGTCAGGGACATGGCTCAGCTGGTGAGAACTTGGGCTCAGCAGCCAAACCCACAGCCCAGAAGCCTTTTATAGCCAAAGCGGCCAGACCCCAGGCTGGCTCAGCCTTCAGGATAAGCCAGATATAACCAGGAGGCCAGGGCTATGATCTCCCAAGGCTCCCCTCTGTCCTCCTATAATGCCCAAGCTCTGCACTCGCTATCCAGGCCCTTCACTGGTCCCTGTCAGCTCCCCCCACTTTCCTGGGCCTTGGCCACACTAAATACCCCCACAGTGCCCTCACACCAGGCTCCTCCATGCCTCTGCACCTGAGTACACTGTTCTCTTGAGGTGAGTTGCCCTTCTTCTTGTCTCCTATTTCTTCCCTAGAGCTTGCTGTGGGGTCCTTAAGGACAGGTGTGTTCTCCCCCAACTTCCCTGATACCCTGCAGTGTGGCTTCCCAGTCCTCCTTGAGGGCAGGGATCATATCAGCTGCTTGCACAGTCCCAAGGCCAGGTCTGACAGGACAAATGCTCCCCAGCAGGGCAAGGGCAGCTCCGAGGCAGGCAGTCCCAGGACCAAGGCCAGCTCTGCCCAGGCCCACAGGTGACCCAAAATGAGCTACTGTTGTCTGAGCCTCAGTTTCTACATGTCTGAAAAGCAGGGAAGCAGGGTGGGACGAGGTCAGAGAGAGCCCGGGGAAACTATAGTACTGCACCAAAGGAAGCCATTGCACACTGCAGGGACTTTGCAGCCCGGCAGACTCCCGGCACCCCGGCACAAGCGGTGCCACCTCTCTCAGCCTGTTTCCTTTTTTAACAAGGAAGTCCATCTCCAAGCCCACAGAGTGGCTGAGGATGGATGTGAAGTGCCTGCCCCGAGTAGAGGACGAGCTCAATGAACAGCAGCTCTTACTGTGACTGTGACACCCTCACAGGGGAATATCTCGGGTGTGCTCACCCACCACCAGGTCCTGCAGGATTTTATGCTGAGCACTGACATTACTTCCTTCTTATTTTATTTATTTTTAAATAAAATATGTATCTATGCATTTATTGTAATTTTCAAGCTACTGGGTCTGGGACTTGAACTGCAGTTGGCCATATAGGAATCCAGCACCTTAACCACCATGCCACCTGCTGGCCCACTACCATTATCTTTAAATGCATCTGTTGAACTAGGCTGTCTATACCTCCACACTATATACCTTCCCTCGAGGTGCCAGCACAGATAGCATGGCACTCAGCAGGTGCTGGGCCAGAAGGCAGAGCCAGAGGAGTGGTCCCCAACCCTGGCTGTCCATCAGAATCACATGAGCTGGGCATGACATGCAGACAGAACCCTGTGCCCTACCTCAAACCTCCCCATCAGACTTGATGGGTGTGGGTCTTAGGAATCTGAAGCTTTACAAGCTGTCCAGGTGATTCTGAGGCGTACGAAGACTGGGATCTGCTGAACTAGGGGTCCCCGAAGGCTACTCTATCTCTAAAGCTCTCTCTGATCTCCTCTCCCTGGACCACCACTTTGGATCAAGCTGATGCTTCTCCTGCACACCTGAAACCTGGCCTCTCTGAGGACTGCTACAGGGATGCTTCTCCATAGGCCTTCTGAGACCTCCCCACTGGATAAAGTCCAGGATGCAGCCCAGGCTCCTCCACCTGGTAGCCCCAAGGTCCTTCTTCTCAGCACCCTCCCTCCCAAGCCTGTGAACCAGAAACACTGAATGGCTCAGGGTTCCCTGAGAGAGCCGTGACAGCTCATACCCCTTACACACTCTGACTCAGCTTCAGACCTGGGCTTTCTGCATCCTCCTTTGCACCCCCTACCCCTCCCAGGCGGACTTGAACTGCAGTTGGCCATATAGGAATCCAGCACCTTAACCACCATGCCACCTGCTGGCCCACTACCATTATCTTTAAATGCATCTGTTGAACTAGGCTGTCTATACCTCCACACTATATACCTTCCCTCGAGGTGCCAGCACAGATAGCATGGCACTCAGCAGGTGCTGGGCCAGAAGGCAGAGCCAGAGGAGTGGTCCCCAACCCTGGCTGTCCATCAGAATCACATGAGCTGGGCATGACATGCAGACAGAACCCTGTGCCCTACCTCAAACCTCCCCATCAGACTTGATGGGTGTGGGTCTTAGGAATCTGAAGCTTTACAAGCTGTCCAGGTGATTCTGAGGCGTACGAAGACTGGGATCTGCTGAACTAGGGGTCCCCGAAGGCTACTCTATCTCTAAAGCTCTCTCTGATCTCCTCTCCCTGGACCACCACTTTGGATCAAGCTGATGCTTCTCCTGCACACCTGAAACCTGGCCTCTCTGAGGACTGCTACAGGGATGCTTCTCCATAGGCCTTCTGAGACCTCCCCACTGGATAAAGTCCAGGATGCAGCCCAGGCTCCTCCACCTGGTAGCCCCAAGGTCCTTCTTCTCAGCACCCTCCCTCCCAAGCCTGTGAACCAGAAACACTGAATGGCTCAGGGTTCCCTGAGAGAGCCGTGACAGCTCATACCCCTTACACACTCTGACTCAGCTTCAGACCTGGGCTTTCTGCATCCTCCTTTGCACCCCCTACCCCTCCCAGGCTCCCATGGCTTCCTCAACACAGTTGGGTCACACTGAGCTATAACCCACATACAGTCTGTCTCCCTCTCCAGACTGTGGCCTCCTGTAGGGACCTTGCTATATTCATCCCTGTGCTCCTGTCAATTGACCTGGGGCTGCGCGACAGTCAAGACACAGGAAATTTCTCTGACGGGTATGCGAATAAACTGAATGAATGAATGCATGCATTAATGAATGTAGAGCTTGTCATCCAGGATCTGACTTGGAGCTACCTGGGCCTCAAGTTCCCCATTTCTAAAACGAGGGCTTGTATGACAGCAGCAGCTTTCATGGCTAACTAGGAGGTGTCTCAGAGCTGAGAGGGAGGTGAGGTTCCTATCCCTTCCACAGCTTCACTCAAAGCAGCTCACTCGCTTTCATCTGCTTTAGCAAAAAGACTAAATGAAGGCTGTCAGTGCTTATGAAGCAAAGCCTTCAAGCTACTAGACCGGTGATGTCTAAGCACCATCCTCATCATCTGGGTGTCCGATCCTAATTCTGGAGACAGAGACTCTGGTTCCACAGAGGAAGCCCTGCCAGTGAACCATGGTCACTTGCTGGACTGCTATCTCCAACAGATGGGGATGAACAGGAGGAGGAGGAACCGGTGAGACCATGGGAGGTAGAGGAGTGCATGACACAAGCCCTCCTTGGAACCTCAAAGCTTGAGTAAGATAAATCTATGACTCTGAAAACCAAAAGGCCAATCTGTCACTGGGGCTGCAATGTGCACACAGAGCACCAAGCTGCTTACGTGACTGCCCTGGGGGTGCTGGGGGGCCTGAAAGGGCTGGGCACTGAGGGTCCACCACAAAGCAGCAAGGTGCCCACTCAGCAATGGGGAATGCTACCAGAAACCCATCCCCAACAGGATGACTCTGACCCAGCAGAACCCAACCTGGTTCCATTTACCTTCTCACCCCGGTTGGAGAGCGGCCCATCCATATCGGCTTTGAGGTGGACAGGGGGCGCGGTGTAAGGCAGCCGGCAGTGCACCTGCCCGCACTGTACCTGACCTGTGGATGAGAGAATGCCTTGGAGCCCATCCCTGCAGCTCCATGCAGGACCCGACAGCCCTGTGCTCTGCAAGCTGGAGCCCTGGGACCACTTTCATCTCTGCCACTTACCACCTCGGTGGCTCTGGGCAAGATTTCAATAAGATTGTTGCAGCGTCATATGTGACACTCTCCCTGGTCTATAAAGTACCATGTGATGGCTTGATAGAACTGTCCCACCCACTAATAGACAAGCACTTCTAAGCAAATGTGTATTAAACACTTCCTGCAAGCAAGGCTGTATCCTATCCATTCAGATCCTCCCTCAGCACCTTGCCCATTCTTTTCTGCAGGTATCAATCACCAAAGCTTTACCCATGCCTCCTAGAGGAGCACCCCTCCCTACACTTCCTGTCCTTCCCAGCTTTGTTTTTCTTCCTTTACCTCATCATAGGAGTTCCTGTCATTTTTATTATTTATTTGATATTATCTGTCTTCACCAACTAGAATGCAATCTCTGTGTGGGCAGAAAGTTTTGTCTGTTTTCTAGATTCTAGGTCTTTGTGGATTTCCAGCACCTAGAATGAGGCAAGGCATCTATTGAATACTCTTTAAATATTTGTTGACTGAATTTTCATACCCTTTTAAACGTCTAGAACTGTTAGGGAAAGTTCATCTTCGTGTCTGGTCCAAATCTCTTGTGCTTCAGCCTGTTTGTCACTACAATGGAGAAGTCCATGGCCTATCTCTGCCCTAGACTTTGTCCTCTTTGGTCACAGGAAAAAACATCCAGTATGGAGACTTAGAATTGATACGTAACTCGGGACAAGTTACTCTGCCTTTCCGAGTCACAGTTCTCTCATCTAAAATAAAGAGTGATATTGGGACCAGCAGATGGTATAATGATTATGTCACTGAACTCCCATGTAGTCGACTGCGGTTCGAGTCCTGGACTCGGTGGCTTAAAACTCACACTGGGCAGGGGCCAGCAGAAAGGGTAATGACTATGTCACTGGATTCCCATGTAGTCGGCCATGATTCGAGTCCCGGACCCGGTGACTTGAACTCACACCAGGTGCGTGTGCATGTGTGCCCAAGATCCTGAGAGGAGAATGGAGGAGAAGGGATTGTGGTGTGGCCATCCCTCCTGGTGGGGTGATTTCTCACTTTCTGTCTCTCTGTCTCTCGGTGTTTCTGGTGAGCACACACACCTTATAGCAAAAACCTCTCAAAAAAACAAAACAAAACAACAAATAAAAAACTCACACTGGGCGTGTGTGTGTGCATGTGTATGCTCAAAATTCTGAGAGCAGAATGGAGGAGTAGGGACTGTGGTGTGGTCATCCCCCCAGTGGGGTGATTTCTTGCTTTCTGTTCCTCTGTCTCTTTGGCAAGTACATATGCCCTAAAGCAAAAATCTCTCAAAAAAAAAAAAAAAAAGAGAAAAGAAAAAAGAAAGAATGTTATTAAATTGGGGCTTCTGAATCTGGGGTGTTGAAGAACTCTATGGACAACCTTAAATTACTATAGAAAACTATGCATGAGAGGATACCAAAAAGTTCATGCAAAAATGGAATTAAAATACAAGTTTATTTTGGTGCAGCTTTTTAAAAATCAATGCAAAGTTTTTTCATTATATTCATTTTCCATGAACATTTTTGAAGATTCTCCCCTTATTGGAGACCAGCAGTTAGCGTAATGGCTATGTCACTGGACTCCCACATAGTCGACCATGGTTTGAATCCCGGACCCGGTGGCTTAAACTCACGCTGGGCCCATGTGTGTGTGTGCCCAAGATCCTGAGAAAACAGAGGAGAAGGGACTGCAGCGTGGCCATCTCCCCTGGGGGGTTATTTCTCGCTCTCTGTCTCTGTCTCTGTCTCTCTCTGTCTTTCTGGTGAGTGCACGTACCCTATAGTAAAAACCTCTCAAAAAAAATAAAAAAGATTCCCCCTTATATGTCTGTACATTTTCTGGAGTGTGATTCCAAAACTTTTATCAGATTCCAAGCCCTAAGTCTCCTGGAAACTCAGGAACCTGTGACTTCAGTTAACTGCAAAGGAAGAATTTATCTTTCTAGAATCTGGTTTTAACACTTGCATCAGCTTTCCAGCTCTAAGGCTTCAGAAAACTCAAGACTCTGTGTCTTCAGTGAACTGTAAAGCAACCTGCTGCAGTGACCTCCAGTCATTCATCAAGGAGTAGCAGGCCCACCCCAACATCTTCTGCCCTAAGCTGGGTTCCACCTCAAGGGGAAGAAGAAAGGGCCCCTTCTCTAGGCATCAAAGACTAACGATTTAGGCTTAATCAAAGAAATGTGTGGACAGATCCTGGCAGGGACCCTGGAGACCATGGCCCCACTTCCAAAAGAGTCACTGTTACCCACTCCATGCCAAGTATTAGCTGGTATCCCAGCCCCTGGCACATGGAACACCCCTGGTCCTTAGCACATTTAACAGGTGTCTGATGGGCTCCGTGTCCTGAACATACATCATTGTTTAGAAAAGAAATGGCACAGTACAAAGAGACCTAGTTACCAATCAGCAACCCAGTGCCGTAAACAGCTCTCTGCACTCCTAGTTCTGCCAACCAGAACCACTACCACCATTACAAGAACAGCTAACACTATCCAGCACTTACTAAATGTTGACGAGGTAAAATCGATGATGTCATCTCATACTCACAATGCTGCTTTGAGATTGCTACTCTGTCCTCATTTTTACAGATGAGGAAACTAACATCCAGGGACACTCAGAAACTTGCCCAGTGTCACACAGTCAGTAAGTGGCAGGGGTGGGATTTGAAGCCTGGCAGCCCTTGGTTTACTCATCCACCCAATGGGATCATGATCTCTGATGTTTAGAGAGAAGGTCAGCATAAGGTCTGGCACACAAGTGCTCAGTAAGCAGCAGTTCTCTCTGATCACCCTTCCTTTTCCCTTTTACTTGGAGGTAGAGAAGGGAAGTGTGTGTGCGTGTGTGTGTGTGATCACTTCTATTTTTTTCGTGCATGCCCGGTTTTGGGGAAACAACCTCAAAGGAAATGAAAACCTGTGATAAGCACCTGCTCAGTTACAGAGTCACTGCATGCTCATCTCCCTGAAATCCATGAGGCTGCTCCCGCACTCCTGCAGGTTCCTGCTCCATGGCCTCTTTGCCATGACCTGCCCCTGCATCTCCCCCATAGCACTCATTACCCACCGCCAGGCCTGCCCTCCCTTCTTAGTGTGTCATCTCTCCACCATCTCCCACTCTGGGACCTGAGTCCAGGGACTCAGCAGCTTTGGTCTGCTGTGTTCACTGTGGCATCCCAGTGCTAAGAACTGTCCACATATTCATTGGCTGCGTGAATGAATTCTCACAACACTGTGAAGTGGGCAATCTTAAAATCTCAGTTTGTAGATCAGGAAACCTAGGTTCAAGGAGGTTAGGTGATTTGCTCAAGGCCCCTGCCACATTGGCCTTCTGCTCCCGGAATGTAGCCATGCTGCAGTGCTTTCTGGACCAGGCCCAGCTCACACTCAATCCCCCTACTCCAGGTGCTGAATCCTAACCATCCTACCCATGCGACTTCCTGAGAGACAACCCCACCAGTATCTCCAGACTCTCTCATCTAACATTTCCTACAGGGGTCAGGTGATTAAAACCACAGGCTCATCTGTCTGGTTATTGTTCTATGCTGTCTCCTCCATCTGAACGCAGGCTTCACGTGACAGGAACCTTGCCCATCTGTTCTCTTCCTAGACCTAGACCCCTGGCACAGACTGGGTGGTTTGGAAAGGCAGCCATTGTTTTTGAATGACCAAACTGCCTCTGCTTCTGCCCCAGTGAGGAAGAGCCAGAAAATTTACCTTTCCCCCATACACTAGGATCCAAAGAACTTCAGGGCCCACATCTATACCCACAAGGCTCCGGAAGGAATCCCCACACCTCAGCCTCCGCAACCCATGTGCGCTCCTCCACCCCACCCCACCCCGCCCCGGCGCTGGCCGGGTGGCCTGGGGTTGCGGTCACTTACTCTCAATGTAGCCGTGCAGGGTGACCATGCGCGCCCTCTCGGGACTGCTGAACGGGGAATAGTGGATGTCGTCGGACAGGGCGGAGGGGAGGCGGGACGGGGGCGCCCCCGAGGGTGGCACAGGGTGCTGCGGTGTGTGCTTTTTATGACGCGCCCGGCAGTTTTGAAACCACACCTGGAACGACAGCCTGAGCAGCTTCAGCCTCGCGGGAAAGGATCAGACGTGCCGCTGGGGGACCCCAGGCGGGACTGCCTCCTGCCTCCTAAAGAAGGGCGGCCACATGCACCTGACCTTCTGTTCTTGTGCCCGGCTACTTGATGGAAGTCCCGCCCCCAGAACCCTAGGCCCCGCCCCAGGCCCGCTCAGCCCTGGCCCCACCTGGATGACCCTTCGGCTGAGGCCCGTCATATCCGCCAGCTTCTGCAGCGTCTGAGCGTCTGGATTGTTGTCCTGCGCGAACTGCGCCTGCATAACCTGCGGGGCGCAGAGGGCGGTGAGGCACTAGTGCACAGAGGTCTCGAGACCCCGGCCCAATCAGACGCTCTAGCCCAGAGGCCACGCCCCAGACAGCTACAGTGCCTCCCGCCGTCAGTTGTCAGTTGGTCCGGGCAGAGTGGGTGGAGCCAAGCGACCTATCAGCCCCGCCCACCAAAGGCCCCGCCCACGACAGGTCCCTCGCTCCCTACCCGGGTACCTGCAACTGCTCTGCGGTGAAGGACGTCCGCGCGCGCTTGGCCGGCTTGGGCTGACTGTCCTGTTCCGAGGGCACTGCCCCCTCCAACGTGAGACCGTTCCCTGGGGGCGACAGAAGCGGCTGACCACGCGTCCCAGTCTCTTCTAGTGGCACTCTGGAAAGGACGGGGGTGGGGGGAGCTTGTCCCTGGAAGGGTCAGGAGCGGAGTCGGCTGAGAGCCGGGATCCCAGGCCCTAGTCCCTGACTCAGTCTTTAAGGGAGGGGACTCCTACTCAGCGTCGCTCGATACTTGACGCTTGTCTTTTGGCTAGCTCAGCGTCTCACAGCCCTAACGACAGGTGGCATTATCCCCATTTTACATGAGAGGAAACTAAGGCTCAGTGAGAAGAAAACCCCTGCCTGACGCTAAAGATCCAAACTGGGCTCTTTCCCACCTACATTAGGGGAAACCAAAGGCTAGTGAGATAGGGAGCCAGCAGGTTAAGGAATCGTGATCCCAATTTCATGAAACCAAGTGGAAGAAAAAGGATATCAGAGGACATACACAAGATGTTAGTAGTGATTTACCTCCGAGGAGTGCAATCATGGAGACTCACTATTCCTGTAACTTTTCATGTTTTCTAAATAATTGCATGTCACCTTACTTCCCTGAGGTTTCATTTTGTTGACTGGAGTACATGTTAGATACTCTCTTCCCACTTATATGCAATCATATGAAACCACTAAATATATTCCCATCTTATTTTTTTAATATTTCATTTTTCTGAATCCATGAATGATACATAGACCTTCTCAAAAACTCAGGAAATTCTGATAAAAACAAAGAAGAAAGTAAGGATCACCAGTAATTCCACCACTCAGATATAAACACCATTCACAATTTATTATAATTTTTTAATTAGGAATAAATTATGTTGCAGGGGAAAAAATGCTCATAGATACATAGAAAATCTGGAAAGATACACAGTGAAATATGAGAAGAGGTGGCATTTAGAGTGATCTTTTTTCTTCTTTTTGCTTAACTGTCTTTCAAAATTGTTTTATTTTGCTATAGGTGCATGCTCTCACTGAAGAGAGACAGAGAGAGGAAGAGAGGGAAAGTGAGGAAAGTGAGGAAGCAACCCCCCTGGGGGGATGGCCACATAATCCCTTCTCCTCCATTGTTCTCTTGGCATTTGGGGTAGCCATGCATGCATGGGAACTCAGTGTGTTTTTCAAGTCAAGGTCTGGGACTCAAACCATGTATTAGGCGATGTGGGATCCAGCCACCTTAACCACCACCTTAACTACCTGGCTGGTCCGAATTTTTGTGATGAACATGTGTGTGCATGTGTTTGTTATGTTTAAAGAGTAAAACAGTAGCCAACTCTGAGGGCTGATCAGTAAGGGATATCCGAGGCCCAAGCCTTCCAGTTCCCTGCATGGTAGGAGTCTGGGATCCACATGGCAGTGAGAGATGGGATGTAATTGGCAAAGGCCATGACTTGGGATGGTCCTTGTTGGCCCAGGTGTGGAAGGAGCCTATGGCTTCTTATGGTGGATGATGTAAGAAATAGACTCCAGGGTTTTTATCTGAGTTACATTGCTGACTTGCCCACCCCCACAGATAAATTCACAGTACCCCAAGTGTACTGAGCCCATTTAGCCCTGATCATGGCAGGAGAATATGTGATGGTCAGGAACACTATGGTGGTTCCTGCCTAGTCACCAGGTTAGAACTTAGAAATTGTAACAGTGTGGGCCATACCCCTCCCTAGAGGGACTGAGAATGGGGCAGACATTTAGTGGTATTAATGTGCTCCAGTAATGCAGTCAGCACAAGGATTGGTATGCCCATTTTTTCGATGGGGGAAAAGAAACTCTTCGAGGCAGCAATATCCCCAGTATCCTCCCAGCTTTATGAGGTCTGATCAAGAGATCCTGCAGCTTCAGCTGGAGTAGCATTACGAAGTTTGTACAATGAAGTGATTAAGCGCCTGGGCTTTGGGGTCAAGCAGCCCTACTAGTATGTGACCTTTGACAACTCACATATTGCAGATAGCATCTGCCTGCTTCCTGGCCTATAAAACAGGGATATACCACCTACTTCCTAAGGCTGTTATAATCATTGCATAAAACAGTGCATGTTAGAGATGTTAGCAGCACACATACCTCCTGACTGAGGAATTGTGGTGAGGGTCCCTGCCTCTGCCCAGAATATATCTCCACTCCCTTTCTCCTATTCCCATGCCACCCGTGACTCAATGCTCAGGCTCCCTAGAAGACTTGGATCCTGTCCCTTTGCCTGTTGTCTTGGACAATCACAGCATCAGAGCCAGAGAGATGTAAGATTCCAGCCCAACATCCATCTTGCGCAGATAGGGGCACTGGGGCCCAGAGAGGAGAGGAAACTGCAAATAAAGTAAAGTAAAGTATGTGGGACTCAAAGACCAGGCTCTTTGTCCTTGCAATTCAGGACCCTCGTCCAGAATAAAACCTCCACCCTTAAACCTCCAACTTGGAATTGCTAGGATAGAGGTAGAAGAATGGGAACCATGTCATCTCTCCAGGACTGGCCCTAGTCTGATTCTGGGCAGCTGGCGGAAATGAGCCCCAGGCCAACGAGAGCTATCGGAAGGTGGAATCGGGCCACCCTGTGATGAGAATCGTCTCCAGACTTCCTTGATTGTCTATCTTTCAGGTGTCCTGTCATTAGCCTTATTCTACAGATAAGGAAACAGTGGCAGAAAGGGCAAGCCCTTGACTTCTGACTCCAAAAGGAGCAGTAGGAAGCGCAGGCGCCGGCTCTGTGCAGACCCCCAGCCCCGCGCTGCCTTCAGGAGCTACTTGGAATGCCCAGCGGGTAGAGAAGGCAGTCGGTTTCCTGAGGTGCTGGGGTGGGGTGGGAAAGGGATGGGGACAGAGGTGTGGGCGGGGCGGGTTGGGTACCGTTCTCGGCGGCCCTCTTGAGGTTCTCGATCATGGTGTCGTAGTGGATGCGGCACAACACCTTCTCCTCCACCAAGCCGAACTCCTCGCCGGTGGACAGCTGGCGCTTGCAAGAGAAGCAGGCGAAGCAGGCCAGGTGGTAGGCGTTGCCGCGCGCTCGCCGCACCCAGTCGCTGGCGTATATCTGTCGGCCGCACCGGGCACACTTGGTCCCAAATCGGCTGTGGGTCAAGAGGGCAAGGACTGAGACGAGGAGACTCAGGCGGTCGCGCGTTGTCCAACCTGCACCGTTCCGCCCACACCCAGGCTTCCGGTCTCAGGATCTCCCTCACAAATTACCTTTGGCTTGGATGCATCACCCCTCGACCGACCGCCAAGTCCTAGAAGGCGAACTAGGGGGGTGATTTCCATATTCTTTTTGGTACTTGTCTGAGTTTTCCAAATTTTCTACAGTTATCATTATTTATCATTATCAATATATATTTGTATATTATACTAGGAGATTTTGAAATGTTTATGGGAAAATGAAATTAAAGTACAAGTTTCTTTTGCTGTAAAAAACTGAAATCCATGCAGAGTTTTTTGTAATGCTCATCTTCCAGGGACTCTAGGAAGATCGTATTGATTTGTTCATTAAAATACATAGTAGTAGGAAAACATCGTCGCTGTATTAATAATAATAGGCAAGTGTTTGAGCACTGACCACTTGCCAGCAAAATTCCAAGTATTTCACACCTATTATCCCAATTAATCTACATCTTGCAGGTGAGGAAAATGGGGGGCTAGAGAAGTAAAGTAATTTGCAAAAGGTTGCACAGCTCCAAGGACAGTAGCCTGAGCCAGTATGACTTCTGGGATTAGATAACTTATATCCATAGCTGTATAGACGCTCAGAGTTTCTTGGAAGAATAAACAGATACATAGGCTCGATGATCCTGGGCAAATTGCTTAACTCATCGGAGTTAAGCATTTTCCTTGCCCTGAAGTGAACTAGATGAGGACAGCAACGACTGCTGCTTTTTGTCTAGTGCACTGCAATCTACTGAGCATCTAATTGACCCAGATTCTGCAGTCCATGACGTTCCAATATTAAATAAACAAAAATATTAATAAAAAGGGAAAACCCAGATCAAATGTCCCCTTGGCCCTTTAGGCTCTTCCCGTTCTCCTTCCCCAGTTGGCAGTGCGGGGCTCTCTTTGGGTGCCACTGCCTCCAATACCAGACCGAGAGGGCCTCCAGAAAGCAGCAGAGTCTGGTTTGCCCAGTTCTGAAGTCAGACCAGGGCTCAGCCCCTAAGTACTAGGGAAATCTTGTTCTCAAAGGGATGACTCACCTGTGACTCTGCCCCAAGCCTCTCAGCCTCCGTTCCCTCTGCTGCACAGTTTTGGGGAATGGTGCCGCTATTTAGCCAGCCCCTCAAACATGGAACTCTTAAATCTTACACTCCTCCCTGTCCTCAACCCCACATCCAACCAATCGTTTGGCTCTGTGGGTTTTGTTTCCTAAGAATCTCTGAGATCTATCTCCTGTCCATCTCCACTGCCGCCCCCCTGGGCCAGGCTCCCATCATGCATCCTCACTGCCAGTCTCTCTGCCTTGGCCTCCCTGTTTCCGGTCTTATCCCTGCCAGTCTGTCCTCCACACAGCAGTCACAGTGAAGTTCCAGCAGACACTTGGAATCCTATCCCCGCCCTACTTTCCTTTGGTGGCCCTACTCCACTCTCAAGATTTAGTCCAAGACCCAGCAGACTACATCTTTGGGCCCATCTCCTGCTGACCTTCTTCAATATCTCTCACCCAACACCCAAGCATGAGTCCAAGTCAGCCACAGTGAAGGTTAGTTCCAGATCTTTACGGACCCCTCTGGAGACCTTTCCCACCCCAGGCCCTTGCAGAGGCTGTTCCTCCTCTGGACAGGCTCTTCCCAGGAGCGCCCTGCACTGCCCTCCCAGTATAGGTCACGCCAATTTGTAACGTCTGGCTCTTTGGTCGTCTCTTTCCACTCTTAGCATCCCTGGGAAGTGGGAAACAAGTGGGGACCAAGAAGATTTGCCTTTCTATCCCCAGCCTGCACCCTCCCACTGGAAGGGGCATTCGAAACTGCCTGCAAGTGCCTGGACAAACGGCAAAAATGCTCTGGTTACTGCCTCATCTGCCTTAGCAAATTGAAGCATTAAAAAAATACTTATATACAAAACAGAAAATGGTGCTGAGTTGTACTGAGTGTGAGAGTAGGAGGCTTCAGCCAGTCCCAGCTCCCAGAACCCCCCCCCCCACCCCCAACACCACTATTTGCCAGCCAGAGAGCAAGGGGACTCTGCCGCGGTGTGTGGTTCCCTCAGGCGGCACTGCGCGCGTGTCTCCTCAACTATACGCCTAAGGAGAGGCACTTCAGGATCCCAGAAACGCGGCCTCCCCAGGGGAAAGCTGAGCACGGCCCCGTCTCTGTATTCAGTCTCTCAGTAAAGGAGAAAGGTACTTCTTACTCATCCCTGCCAACCGCGGGTTCTGCCACCCTGTTGGTGGTATCATATTGGGAACACTTTCACCGGCTTTTGATTACTTATGCTTCGGGAAGAGGGGACGACCAGCTGCTCACAGCGTTTCTGCTGCGCTCAGGGTTCTGGGCTGTGATGCCTGCATTGCACCGCCTCGGATTCTCAGCCACCTGGTGAGGTAGCGACTCTGGCATCCATTTTTCACAGGTGGAATCAGAGGTTCAGAGACCGCAAGTGAGTCGCCTAATACATCACAGAATGTGGGGCTGGGGTTGAGGCCATCTCCAAGGTGGAAAAGCGACCTAGAATCTGCAGAGCAGTTGGACTTGAGAGCTGGGATCCCGGGTGGAGGAACAGGAAGGAGGCCTGACGGCACCGTGTCCCCGCATTGGATAGTGGGTTCTGGACATTTGTGGGCGCCAGCGCAGGGGTACAGCCGCCTTCAAAAGGCTGGGAGCGCGTACTCACGGGCCGACAGAGCCCGGGCAGGGGAGGTTCCAGCCCCCACCCCAAGCCTCAAGAGCTGCGGAATCTCCTGTCAGTGGTGTTGATGCGCTGCAGCTGCTGCGCTAGGCTAGTGCCGGTGCGCTGCACCAGAGAGTGCGGTCCCAGATTGTAGCTTTTGGCTCTGAAAGATTTCTCGTCCTTTGTCAGGGACGCATCTGAGACTCCTCGCGAATACCGACCTTCCCACCCCACAAGTATGCCACGCTAGAGTCTGTTCTGAGCCCACGCAGGTAGCACCCCTATCTCCTTGCTCTGAGGTGGGCGCTGCCAGTGACCTCTCATGAACTTTCTTAACCTTCACGTGTCACCCCAAATGCGCGGATCTTCCCCTAGCCCTGGGATCTCCCTGCACTCCCCATGGCCCGATCTAGTCATAAAATCGTCCTTGCACTGGATCCTGGTGGTGAGAGACCATCACGCAGGTTCGTGAGCGTCCCCACCATTCCTATAACGTGTCTCCCTCCCAGGAGAGGGGAGCCGCAAGAAGAAAGGGCGTGAGGAATCTTATGGATCCGGACTCAGAAACACACAGACACGCAGCCTCTTTCCCAGGTTGGCTTCGAGACCCGCACAGAATTCCGGACGCAGCGAAATAATCAGTGGCAGAAACAACGAAACTTCAAGACAGGGGTGCTCAGGAGCTATAGCTGACTCACCCAAAGGATTAGCGGGTGTGCCTGCAGCCATCCCAGCCTTTCAGTGAGGTCGGGGCAGTGCGCACAGCTGCCTGGCTCCCCCAGCATTGCAGAGGATAAATGCGCAAAAACCCAAGGCGCTTTGGGAATAGAGAGGTACCAGGCAGACCGGTGCGCATCCTGGCAACTGCTGAAAGAAGTAGGGTGGTCATTGCACCTCCAGGACCTTTATCCCCTGAATGGGGAGCAGAGATTATCTGGGACTCCAGATTATGTAGAGAAAGCTGAGCGCCCTTAAAAAGTCAGGCTCACTGACAGGCCTACTTACCCAGGATACTTAAGGTGCTTAGTGATTATTTGCTGAATAAAGGAGCCTCAACGAATGAGCCCATCTGCGTTTCACCAGGACCACTTCTTCCATTATTAAGCTATCCCTTTTCTGCCCTAGAAAATCGAAGCTCAGAGTGGGAACACCACAAGACAATGTTGAGTCTAGTTGCTGGGAATTCAGACTGGAGTTCCCTTACTTTAGGTTCAAGGCACTCACTTGGTGTCTTGAGCAAGATCCCAATGAGGCAAACAAGGAAGACTGGAAGTGGATCCCTTCCTAATCCCTCTGCTTCCCTTCTAAGCAAACCCGTATGAGAAGTCAGAAAAATACAGAACCAGCAATTAAAAGGTTAAAACGGCCAGCCAGCCAGCCTGTGCCTAGGAGGTCCTGGCCAGAGGCCCCTCCCCACCAGCTCTCCACTCCACTCCCCCAACATCTGTCCCCCAACATCTGTCCCCCCCTCCCCAGCTCCCCTTCCGCCTAGCCACCGTGGTGGGGGGTCGCTTCCCGGCTCAGAACCTCCCAGGGGATGTGCCCTGGGGGAGGGGATGGGGTTCTCCCTATGGAACCTGAGGACAGAACTTGGGCTCAGGGTGGGGGCTTGCCCTAAGTCTAGTGGGGCCAAGTAGGGAATAGGAGCTTTAGTCTCCCAGGCATTCCAAACCCCCACCCCTACAAACACAAGGAGAGGCAGTTAACCCTTTACTCTCCACTCCCACTGTGAGAAGATGCCTGGCTGGAACTAAGGTAACCAGAGCTTAGCAAAATCGCTCTGCCCATGGACCTCAGTGGAGGCGCTCCTGACCTGCCCTGCCAGAGAAAATCACCATTAGAACACCGTGTGCATTCCCTACAGGAAGCCAATCAAAGTGGACAAGCAATTTTAGGACCAGCAGAGACAGGTCTTTGCCCTTCCACCAGACTTTGATGCAAAGGGGTGACTACCATATCTTGTCTATAGAGGTAGAGTATGGAGCTATTTAGGGGCAGAAGTGGTGATACTAGGTATCTCCAGGCCCTGTTACTTAGCTGTGTGATTTCACCTCTCAGGGCCTCAATTTCCCCTTCTACACTGTGAGGAGCATGATTTTATCTTGCTCACAGTGGGGGGATCTGAGATCAAGACACCGTCAAGCAGATATAGGGTTAGCACAGTTCCTGGCTTAGAGAAGAGCTGTACACATTCTGATGATGAGTCCTCACTTCTCCCCACCCTTCTTCCTTGCTCTCTCTCACTGTGTGACCCTGGGCACATTCACTTTCCACTAACCTACACTGGACGATCCACCCACAAGGGGTAGGATGTTCCAGGAATCTGAGGGATTCTGGAGGGCACTGAAGATCCAGTCATGTAGCGCGGTGGGAGGGGGTTATGGAAAGTTGTCTGGAGTTGTGGATGCTGAAGACACAGAAATTGGAACTTCTCCAGAAAATACACTATTTTTTTCCCTCTGGAATTTTCTTCATTTCTTGGAAGAACACAGAAAGAAATGATCTTACCAACTACAGAAAACAAGTGAAGAATTACAAGGCTTATCACATTGCTTTGGTGGCATTTTTTTTTTTCTTGCTGGGACTCTTGAGACAGGAGGTGAGAATCTGGCTGAATCCCCAAGGGCTGGTGAGGTCCCTGTTTGGAGAATGAAGTGGAGAAGCTGAGGCAGAGAGGCTCCGGGGGCCGGGGCCAGGCACCGGCCAGTGAAAAATCAGCGGCTACCAACAAGTAAGGAAGCCTGGAGCAGCACTGGACCTCCCTGACTCCCCCCTCTGCAGCCTCCCTCTCTGGTGAACTTGGAGTTCCTTCCTAACCCCTAACTTCCTGACCCGACAACACTGGCTGTGCCAATGGATACTGGAGGAGGATCTTGAAGGTGGTGTCTAGGAGGGGCAAGCCCTGGGCACAGGCACCGGCCAGTGAAAAATCAGCGGCTACCAACAAGTAAGGAAGCCTGGAGCAGCACTGGACCTCCCTGACTCCCCCCTCTGCAGCCTCCCTCTCTGGTGAACTTGGAGTTCCTTCCTAACCCCTAACTTCCTGACCCGACAACACTGGCTGTGCCAATGGATACTGGAGGAGGATCTTGAAGGTGGTGTCTAGGAGGGGCAAGATAAGAAACAGAACAGAAGAGAACCCCTTCCCCAGGGGACAACACCAGTAGTTAGAAGACCACAAGCTCTGAGGCAGCCCCTCCATAGAGCTGTGGCCACGCCCATTCTCCCCACCTCCACCAGTTTACAGATGTTGGCTTCACTTCCGGCAGAGTGCTCTAGCTCACATCCCACCAGACCCTTGACCCTTGCCTTCAGGAAACAGCGGCCTAGATAACATCTGTACAAAAGCCCCAGCTCTTCAGAGGGAAACTGCCTCCCACAGTACCAGTCACCAGCGAGGGCTTCCTCATAGCAACTACCCAAGCCTGGGCCACCACTCAGGGCAGGTAATAGCGCTTGCCTGATGCTCCGCGGCTTTTTCTTTCCCTTTTTGTGGGTTTTGTTATTTTTGTTATAGGTGGGGCTGCCAGGGATGGGTCATGCCTGCAGGGAGAACTGGCAGGAGGAGAAATGTTCAGGAGAGCCATGATTCTACCCCCCAAACTGGGGAATGTGAGCTTTTATTGCCTCCATTTTCTTAACCAAAAATCTGGTTTTGTTTTGCTTTGGGGGCTCTTGTCACTGAAAAAAGTTTAGTGCTCAGAACCTGCCCAGAAATGGCCCAGCCCCAGCCTTCCGGGCAGGCCCTGCTCCTCATGCTGCCTGGGGAAATGCCATCATGGGCTTATGTCCAGCATCCACCCTTCCAGGGGTGACAATGGTGAAGATGAAGGCATTCATAGTAACCACCATTTACAGGGATGTCTTCTCTTCTGTGGTCTCCTTGGCAGTTCAGAGAGACAGCCCTGGAAAGGAACAACTAAGGGAGAGAGAAGCAGCGACTTGCCCAAGGTTACAATGAGCATGGCAGAGCCCAGGCTCCTGCTGCTCCCCCAGACCGCACACCCTACCCTTCACCCTGCTGCACTGGGAAGGGGGTCTGGAATTAGTGTAGGCTCTGAGCAGTGGAATCATGATCCGAGATTTGACTTCAAGATCTAGTAAAGCACGGTGTCCAAGGAGGCTCACTTCAGCATGGGCATGAGCTGGAGAATCAGGGGACAACATTTGGCAAGTAACATGGAAGGCTGCCAGGTCTGCTGCCACCAGGTAAGCCAGCAAGAGGGGCCTGCCCTGCCTTGCTTTGTAGCTGAAAGCCCAGACACCTTCTGACATAGGGTTCCCCAAGCTGAAGCCCTGTCCCTGGTAGCTGAGGAGTCCGGGAGCCCTGAAACAGCAGCTGGCTTGTTTCTCTACCAACTGGAGTCAGGCCTAGAGTGGGGAGGTGGCTAGACAGTGACTCCAACCTCCATTTCCTGCCCAGCCAAACCAAGAGTCAAATGGAACAGTGGGAGGAGATATCACATTCTGGTAACATACCACACAATGATAACCCTCTTCTGACTACACACAGAACACATTCACACCTTCATCCTCAGTGCCTGGGCAGAGGGCCTTAAGCAGG